GAGTTTGAGGCGAAACTTTACATTTATTACATAGGTTCCCATTGAACCTTTTTTAAATACAAATAATTCCATGACACCAACTATGTGTTTTGCAACCTGCTTCCATTCTCATAACTTCCATTCTTTGTGTTCGGTACCCACTAATCTCGCTTCAATGCCCTTTCTTAGCTTTTTAGCTTTGATTTAGGGTACAGGTTGATCATTTGGTCTCACATAACTGATCAAGGGAGCAGAGTATTCATAGGTGATATTAATTTTATAAACCAATCTATTATTAAAGGAGACCACTGAAAGTGTGTGTTGGTCTGGGTAGACTAGAGAAACAAATCCATAGACACTCATGTGTATAAGAAAGAACTTTATATACAAGAGCAGTTAAATATTGAGAAAACATTCCCAGCTCAGTCCAGATCACGTCCATAAGCCTGATAGTAGCTCACCAGTCCGATACCCATCTATGACACCGAATTCAGGAGCATCAAAGGCCACTGGGTGGGAAGTCTTATGGATTCAGTGACATTGTAAGCATCTCAGCACCCACAGGGGTCTCCATATGGCTTCTCCAGCTCCAGAGGTCTGGTTCTATCAGCCTCTCTCCATGTGTCTTCTCCACAGGGATGTCTCTCAGGGAGTCAGCAGCAGAGAGAGAGTCTCCTGCTTCCAAGGAAATACCGGAGTTCCCAGAATCCTCAGGAGAAGGCCATGTCCACACAGAGGCCTCATTGGCTATGACCTGATTGACAGGCTAGATTCCACTCCTACACTCTTAATCCTCATATTGACCCCAGATTATGCAACTACCACAGAGTGGCTTCAGTTCCAAATCTGAAGGTATTTAAAGCAACAGTCTCTGGGTTCATGTAGACAGGGGTTCTCAACCTTCATAATGCCATGACCCTTTAATACAGTTCCTCATGTTGTGGTAACCTGTGGGGGAAAGGCCAGCCCCCCACAACTAATCATGGTCCGGAAGATGCAATTGTATGGTTGAGATATATAAAGATTATAATAAATTCATCAAGATCATGAGAGCTAGAGGAGAGATTGAAATAATGGAGTCAGACACATTTCATGGTAGCATGCTCACCTCCTGGATGGCCATGATCTTACCAGCAAGGTCCGTGCACAGTGTGGGCCAAGGTCAGGTGGGGTGGAGACCCGGCAGTCGGCTGGAACCATTTATTGCTAGCCAAGGGTTATATCTACTTAGGGGGGCATGATTACAGGTAACCACACGCCACAGGAAGGGGCAGTACAATAGGCATACAAGCAATAGGGGGGTGGGGATATACAATGGGCATAGGTATAACAGGAAGAGGATGAGCCAGGGGTGTACACATGATAAGAAGGGAAGGGACTAGGGGTATACATATGACAAGATGATGTACCCTAGATGGCGGCTAACCTTGGTCACCCTTGAGTGGGCTTGACCTCTCGGGTCTCCTGCAAGGAAACAGTCAACTACTATCCTTATCAGAAGGGAGTGGGTCCTACTTGTGGGATAAACAGTGGTGACTGCTTGCTCTGGATGGCTGATAACCCTTAGAGAGAATAACCCCTGACCTACTTGTGTTGATCTCCAAATGTATAATCACCTGCCACATGTAGCGAGCAGCTAAGTGTGAGATACATTTGGGGGAGACAACTTGGGAGAAATCTTTCTGTTTCCCACAGTAACCCCCCCCCAACCATAAAATTCTTTTCTTTCATTTCTTTAAAAAAAAATCATTTTATTGGGGGCTCGTACAATTCTTACCACAATCCATATATCCATCCATTGTGTCAAGCACATTTGTACGTTGCCATCATCATTCTCAAAACATTTGCCTTCTACTTGAGCCCTTAATATCGGCTCCTCATTTTTGCCCCTCCTTTCCCCCTCCCCCTCCCTCATGAATGCTTAATAATTAATAAATTATTGTTATTTTGTCATATGTTACACTGTCTGATGTCTCCCCTTGCCCACTTCTCTGTTGTCCATCCCCCAGGGAGGAGGTTATACGTAGATTCTTGCAATCGGTTCCCCCTTTCCACCCCACATTTCCTCCACCCTCCAGGCATCGCCACTCTCACCACTGGTCCTGAAGGGGTCATCTGTCCTGGATTCCCTGTGTTTCCAGTTGCTATCTGTACCAATGTACATCCTCTGGTCTGGCCAGATTTGTAAGGTAGAATTTGGATCATGATAGTGGGGGGGAGGAAGCATTTAAGAAGTAGAGGAAAGTTATATGTTTCATCATTGCTACCGTGCTTCTGAGTGGCTTGTCTCCTCCCCACAACCCTTCGTAAGGGGGTGTCCAATTGCCTACCAATGGGCTTTGAGTCTATACTCAACCTCATTTACAATGATGATTTTTGTTCTTTGATGCTTGATTATTTTCATTGCTACTTCATAACTGTAATTTTGCTACTGTTATGAATTGGGCAACCCCTGTGAAAGGGTCGTTTGACCACCAAAGAGGTCACAACCCACAAGTTGAGAACTGCTGCTCTAGACTCTGTTGATCTGCTTAGTCTGCCTGGATTTAGGAATTTGAGTTTTGAGCCACATTTTTCTGCCATCCTTACAGAGACCTGTTGTGCCCCTGGACGGAGCAGTTGGTAGTGGTAGCCAGGCACCGTGCAGCTTGTCTCCAACTAGAAGCGACTGTGGCTCTTGTGGGCCTTTTGTCAACTGGACTAATTTCTCCCTTGAATCTTTGTTTCCTTTATTCTCCTTAGCACCAGATGGGAAGAGACCAATGGTTATATCTTAGATGGCTTCGCACAGGATTTTAAGACCCCCGACCAAACTAGGATGTTGAACGTTATGAAGTATGTTTTATGCTCATTGATTAAATTGTCCCATGAGCATACGGTCCCAAGGCTCCAAACCCAGTCAGTCATTCCCATGATGTGTTAGGTTATGTCTTGGTAGTATCTGTAACTGTGCCCCTCCGAGGTTCAATAATAGATGTGAATATGCAGTGCACATAAGCATGTATACCCTTATGTCTGTAGCTCCAGGGGCTTTGGTTTGAACACAACAGAATTTGCCCATTCTGTTGATGGCTCTATGGGTTGTTTCCAGTGCTTGCTTGTCCATTACAAATAAAGCATAAAGCTACGATGAATATTTGTGTACAAGCCTTTGAATTATACCTTCAGTCCCTGTTGGGTAGATATCTAAAAGGGGACTGGATGGATCATACTGTTCGCTTTCTGGGACGGTTTCCCCCGGTTCTTGGTTCTCAAAGCTGAAGTCATCCATTCAGCAGAAGCACTTTTGTAAATCCAGTACCTTTTATGAGGGAAAGGGAAGTTTCAGGTGATAGAGTCTCAGACAGAACACGCTACCGGTCTTCCTGGAAAGCGTGCAAGGCCGAGTGGCGGGGGGCTGTCGGAGATTGCCCGACCGAAACAGCAGCTTCAGAGAAGTGCAGAAAAAACCCGTCGGAAATGGCCGGAAAGAGGAGCCCACGGAGACCAAAGAGGTGTTCCTGGAACCGGAGAAGGAAGCAGAGAGGGAGTGCCAGCCCTGAGAGGGCGCACGCTCTCGCGGTGCCCATGGGAGAGATCCTGCCCTCCAACCTGTAAGAGATCAATAGCAGTCTCTGCCCTTTATCCCCTCTTAACCCTATTTGGGGGTGTGTGGTGGGGGAGCTTGGTTGAGGGTATTGGCCAATCTTAGTGACTGAGTTTAGGTGCATATGTGACATAAAATTGCTGGTGGGCAGTGTGCGTGCCTGGGTTGACAATCACCTGTGCCTCGGTGACCTTAGTCTGTGCATGCCCAGCTTGTCCCCACAGGTGTCTCATGCATGCCTGATTTCTTTTACAACCCCTTTATTGTGGCACGACCAGCTAATTTTCATTTAGCATAGGCATTTGGTGGAGACAACCCCCTTTATTTCTAATCTTCCTACCTATCATTAAGGCAGGTGTATGGCTCACAATGCTCTGTAAACCTCCACTCAATTCATAATAAGTTAAAAAATATTTCGTTGTTACTGAGACAATAGACAGTAAAATATATGCAATTCAACAACTTCTGCAAGTACCATTTTGGTGATGTCAATTCCACTCTCAGCACGTGTAATGCCTCCCACCCTTCTTTTCCGAGTTGCTCCTCAATGAACAAATTCTACCCAAAGGTTCCTCTACTTTAAAGTCTACTGAAATCTTTCAAGTTGCTGTTATTGATTTGATTCCATATAGATCGCTCTTAAAAGAACATGACCAGGGAAGCTATAGAGCCCACATGGAAGAAGCACACCAGCCTGTGTGATCATGAGGTGTCGATGGGAAGAGGTATCCGAAGTTCAAAGACAAGCAATCAAATCGATGTGAAGGGGCATGGATGTAGTGGAGACACAAAACCCACCTGTCAGATAATTGGACAGTCCTTCTCAGAAGGGCCACATGGAAGGGATGATAAATCCAGGGTGCAGTATAGCAGTGATGGACCGCATAACTATCCTCTATTTCTCTAATATTTCTCCCCTTACTACAGTATTAGGGTTTTTATTTGTTTTACCTCATTAATCATGTTAGACTTGCGTATGTTCATTTGTATATTTAAGATCGTTTGGTACATGAAAGCCAAGATGGATAACCCTTCAGAAACAGTAATATGAGCAATGGTTCCCTGAGGGTATGGGAAGAGAGGGGGGGTGGGTAGGGAAGGGGGGAAATAGGGAGCTGATAGCATTGATGACTATAACCCCACTTGATGGGATTGGACAACAGAATTGTATGTGAATGGATATATTGGATTGTGTAAGATATGGCAGAAAACAAAACAATTACAGGAAAAAATATAGGGTGGGGGAAAGGGGATAAAGGGGAGCTGGTAATCAAGGAGTTCAAGAAGAAAGAAAATATTTAGAAACTGACGTAGTAGCAATTGTACAATATTGCTTGATGTGATTGAAGTACGGAATGTTATGAGATCTGTAAGAGCTTCTAATGAAATGATTACCAAAAACCTTGTATTCTGGCCCCTTCCTCTATTGCCCCAGGTGAATAAAGAACAATTGTTGTGCCTTGGATGCCTGCTTGCGGGCACTATTCAAGGAACTAGGAGGTGGACGGAGCACTAAACATGTTTTTAGGCCAATTAACTGGGATGGCCTGTGAAACCATGGCCCTAACTCTACAAACCAAGCAACCGAATCTCATGAGGTGTTGTAATTTCAGTTAAGCAGCTGTAGCAGCTACTCTTTGTTGCTGTCAGCATCATCATCATCATCATCATCATCAAGATGTCATACAACTTTTGCCCATTCAAGCTCTTATTGACAGCAATGATAATAATAAACCGGTTGTGTAAGCCTACCCTTACTGTGGTATTTCTATCATACATAACTCCCCCCTTTTCCTCCCTCCTACCCTGGCAACCACTAATAAATGTTGTTTTCTATACATTTACCATTTGGGGTATTTTTATGTATGAGGCTATACATTTGCCCTTTTTGATTACTTACCTTTCTTGGTATACTGTCTTCCCGTTCTCTTCAGGCTGTAGCATGTACCAAGACGTCACTCTTATGTCAGCTAAGTCCAAGTCCACTATACACACGGGCCACATTGTTTGTAGTCATTCATCTGTGAAGGGAATTCAGGTAGTTTCTACCTCTTGGCTATTGTGAATGGTGTGTGCTGCAGTGAACATTTCACTCATTTTTTAATAGGCTTTTTTATTTCCTAGTGGAGTTTTAGGCTTACAGAAAAATTATACAGAGTTCGTGTATTACCACCCCATTGTTGATCCTGTTCACAGTTTATGAATTATATGTTTCTCCTGTTAGTCACAATCGTATGGTACAGCCATTACAATAGATGAACCAGGGTTGATTCATGATTATTAGCTAAATACATTTACCTGTTTAAGAAACTGCTGAGTTGGTTTCAAAAGTCGTTGTACCATCTTACAGTCTCACCCACTATGGAAGAGAAACACAGTTCTTCCATGTTTTTGTTGGTCTTTGGTGTGGTCAGTCTTTAATTTTAGCTATTCTGAGAGGGGCATGGTAATAGTTCACTGTGATTTTACTTGGCATTTTCCTGATGAAAAATGATATGGAACGTCTTTTCTTTCTTTTTTCTTTTTTTTAAATCTTTTTTTTTTTTTTTAACATTTTATTAGGGGCTCATACAACTGTTATCCCAATCCATACACACATCAATTGTGTAAAGCGCATTTGTACATCGTTTCTCAAAACATTTTCTCTCCATTTAAACCACCGACATTGTGTCCTAATTTTTCCCCTCCCTCCCCGCTCCCCCCTCCCGCATGAACCCTTGATAGTTTATAAATGGGTATTTTGTCATATCTTGCCCTGTCCGACGTCTCCCTTCATCCACTTTTCGGTTGTCTGTCCCCCAGGGAGGAGGTCACACACAGTTCCATGTAATCGGTTGGAGCGTCTTTTCATATGCTGATTTGCCAACTTTCTTCTTTGGTGAAGTATCTGTTAAAATATTTTGCCCATATTAAGAAATGGGTTGTTTACATATTCATGGCACATTATATATTCCGGACAGAAGTCTTTCATCACACATACTCTTGCTTTGTAAAAAATGATTGGTTTAATCTCTGGCTTAACTTTCATTCTTTGTGTTTTTCAAGAATGACAGTTTGTAACCTTGACGTCCTGTTTTTCTTTTACGGATTATGCATGTGGATTTTTTCTTTTACGGATTATGCATAGCTAAGAAATCTTTGCCTAACCCAAGGTCACAAAAAACAAGCCCCTAAAAAAATAAGCAAACTAAACAACTTTCCCTCACATTTCCTTCTTAAAGTTCTGGGCCCAAGATCCATTTCAGTTTTTATATATGATATGGAGACATGGATTGAAAGGGTTTGTTCTTGTAGACAGCCAGTTGTTTCCACAACTTTTGTTCATTACTACTCTGCTGTTAGCTTACCAATGTAAGCTAGTCCACTGCTCTACCTTAGGCTCCGATTTTTTTTTTTTAACCTCAGAAAACCAAACTCGCTGCCTTTGAGACGATTTTGACCCATCGGGACCCTATAGGACAGGGTAGTACTATGCTGTGAGACTGTAACTCTTTATGGGAGTAGGAAGCCCCCGTCTTTCTCGTATTTGTTAAAATGACGCTTAATTTAATTACTTTGTCTCTGGGCTGAAAAAAAAAAAGGCTGCCCTTGTATGTGTGGATGTAGTTTACACCCTGTTCTGTCCCACAGGAGAGTTGGTGGTGCAGCGGTTAAGCACCTGGCGCCAGCCACTGTGGTGTGAACCTACTCACACTCCTACAGGGAAGATGTGGCAACCACCAAGACGACAGCTTAGCCAACTCTGTTGGTTTGTTCTCTGCCCTAAAGGTTTGCTATGAGTTGGAACCCACTGAGCAACCACAAACATTCTGTTCCCCTGACCTCTTATCTGTCTTGATGCCAACATCACTCAATCCTGCTAGTCTTGAAATTAATAATGTTCGTCCTTCAACTTTGTCCTTTGTACAAAATTGGTTTGTCTCTCTTGTAGGCATATTGCAGATCAATTTTAGAATCAATTTGACAATATTTACAAAAATCCTGTTGAGATTTTGATTGGGGTTGCATTGAATCTCTGGATCAATTTGGGATAGAATTGACATCTTAACTATATTAAGTCCTCCCACCTATGAGCAAATATAGCTTTCTACTTATGTAAGTCTGATTCCTCTTAGAAATGAGTTGTAGTTTGCAATGTTCAGGCCTCGCATTTCCTTCACCCTGCTGTTGTTGTCAAGCACATGCAGGCAGTTATGACGCACAACGATCCTGCGACCACAGCAGGACGTGCTGCCTGGCCCTGCACCATACTCACGCCTGTTGTTATACTTGAGCCCATTGTTGCAGTCGCTGCGTGAATCCATCGTGGACCTTCTGTTTCACCAAACACTGTGTCCTTTTCCAGGGACTGGTCTCTTCATAATTGTCTTTAAAGATTTAATATGTATTGATGGCATTTCAAAATTTCAATAGCATGTAGTTCATTGTTAATTATAGACATACAGTTGCCTCATATTTTAAAAAAGAATTTAAAACTTTTCACTGTGGTAAGTATATATGTAACAAAACATTTTCCATGTCAACATTTTTTTATTTGAACAATCCAGTGACATACCATTGGTTTTTAAAAAATCTGATTCTGTGTCTGCAACCTTGCTAAACTCACTAATTAGTTCAAGCGGCTATCGTAATGATTCCTTAACATTTTCTGCATAGACATGCGGTCTGTGCATGTATAGTTTTATTTCTTCCTTTTCTGCCTGGATGGCTTCTCTTTTCGTCCTTTGTTTTGCCTTGCTGCACTGGCTAGAACAGTCAGTACAGTGGCGAGAGGAAACATTCATGCGTTGTTCTTGATCTGAGGGGAAAGTGTATTCATTCTGCCTTTCAACATTCAGTGTATTTGTTATTGAGTTGATTTTGATTCACAGCGACCCCATGTGTTACAGACTGGAACTGCTCCGTGGAAGCGGATTGCCAAGCCTGTCTTTGGCTGCCCCACAATCCTTGGCCATTTATGACCGACCCCCAAGAACACCTAAAGAGGATAAAAATTGGAGTCTTTTTTGGGAAGAAGCTCTTTAACAGGTGAAAGGAGTCACCTATTCCTAGTTTGCGGAGAATTTCCATCAGAAATGGATGTTGGATTTTGCGACATGCTTTTCTGTAGCTGTTGAGATGATCATAGGATAGCCTTGAAATTTGTTAACATTTGTGAATTACACAGATTGATTTTTGAATGCTAGAGAAACCTTGTATTCTCTTAAATTCTAACAATTTTATTGACATAATTCACGTATCATTCAAATCACTAGTTTAGACATATTAAAAAGAGTTATGTAATCATTCCCATCACCAATTGTAGAACGTTTTCCTCTTTTTGCACTCATTATTAGCTCCCCACTACTACTACTCTCCCTGCCATGACCCATAAAAACCTATTAATCCAGTACTGTCTCTACAGTTTACCTATCCTGGATTTCATATAAAGGAAGACATACAGAAATAAAACTAAAAACCACCTCCCCCCAAATCAAAACACAAAACAAAAATTCAAACAATAACAAAATAAAACAATTTAAGACCTTAGTTGGAAAGATAACAGAAAATAATAAAAACTAAATCAAATTTAAAATGGATAAAAAGGGAAAACAATGATTGGCTGTTAAATATTAACCTATTCTTAAATATTCAATAAAACAGAAAAATAACAAACATTGGAGAGGATGTGGAGAGACTGGGACACTTTTACATTGCTAGTGGGTCTGTAGCATTGTACAGTCATTATGAAAGTCAGTATGGCACTTTTTTTTCTTTATTGTTTATGCATTTATTTTAATTAATCACTTTATTGGGGGACTCTTACAAATCTTATAACAATCCATATATCAGTTGTATTAAGCACATTTGTACATATGTTGCCATCTACATTTCCAAAACATTTTCTTTTAAATTGAACCCTTGGTATCAGCTCCTCTTTCCCCCCTCCCTCCCCACCCTTCCACCCTTGTGAATCCTTGATCAATTATGTATTATTGTTGTTCTTTCATGTCTCATACTGTCCGTTGTCTCCCTTCACCCACATTTCTGTTATTCGAGCCCCTGGGGGTGGGCTAGATATCCAACCTTGTAATGGGTTGCCCCTTTCTCCATCCCCCGACCCTCATAATATTGCTACTCTCACTTCTGTTCCTGAGGGTTTTATCTGTCCTGAATGCCATGGGTTGAAAGCTCTTAGCTGTACCAATGTGTGTTCTCCGGTCTAGCCAGATTTGTAAGGTAGAACTGAGTCATGGTAGTGAGGGGGAGAAAGTATTCAGGAACTAGTGGAATGATGTGTGTTCATCGGAGCTATACTGCACTGTGGTTGAATTGTTCCTTTCTTATAACCTATTGGGGTGAGGGGTCCCCAACACTCAAATGAGTCCTCAGGAGCAACTTTGTGATTGTGGAAAATATTAAAGACAGATAGACAACGGGCCACAGGGGCTCCTTGTCCCATGTCAGGACTGAGAGAGAGATTGTATTTTCCAATGGGTATGTATAATGGGGCTTACAGACCTTTCATAAGGCATGCACATCATAGTTAATAGAAAATATCATAAGTAGATAATATAATAAACAAGCAATGAGCAATGAGGTGAGTCAGGATCTTGACCTAGTGCTAGTTGACTTTGAACCCCCTGACCCCTCCCCAGGGGGTGTAATCTCTGATCAGTATCAGCAAGAGATGTCAAAAAGAGCTTGCTACATTTTGTGTGGGTTGGCTATAGAAGCTGATTGCTTTTATCTGCAGATAACCTTT